GTAAGTGAACTTTAAGGACAAAATCAGCTGCCAAATCCTGGGTATAACAAATGACAAACACTAACAGTATATCCAGAAGTGAAAATGGGTCAGCATCAGTTGTCTTCTTCGAGGACAGGGGAAGCAAACTGATGCAGCGTGGAGGAAAAGCGGCAGAATTCAGGATTTGGTGGTCTTTCAGCACTTCTGAACTAACGCAAAATCTCGTTAATTTGCACAACTCTGAAACCGACAGCCGCACTTTACCAACCGTTGCAATCGTTGGTTGTTCCCAAACAAGCCTCTCATTCACAACTAACCCCAGGTATCTTACGGCGGTGCTTTTTCAAACAATTTGTTGCAGAACCGTGCAGTTGGTGAAACAAGCGCAGCCGAGGGTCTGCCTACATGCCTTACACGATGGAAACTACCGTTCAGAAAATTCTTTGGATTAGGCGTTAACCATGAAATGTTCTTGCGCGCTAAAAGCACCAGGCAAATGAGTCAAGCACGCAATGTTTAGAGATTAATCAGGGTAGTAGGGCACGAACAACTTCCATATTACAATTCGAAAGTGCGACCAGTAGAACTACAACAATTTCAATTTAACGAAAGTGGTTGGTGCATACGTCGATGGCTGAATGAACTAAGGGAAAAATCAAAATTCCAAACTCTGCATACCCTGAAATCGTGCATCGCGTTGTCGTACGCTCGCTGATATGGGTGTTCGCCAATATCGTAGTATTTTTTGTTGCCATAGTCATCATAAAGTGCTATTCTGCTGAAATGCAACCATCTTCGACATCCGCTGCAAAGAACGGAACGAAAACCCTTCAAGGCATTCACCTCCGCAAGAAGCATTGTCGGTCTTAACGACAAACGCTGGGGTGCGGAAGCAACTCTACCGTATAATTGAATTGCAGGCTTAAATAATAATAATATCTTGCGATCAAACCCCGCTGAAATGCAGATAAATGAAGAATTTTGATATTTTGTTAACAGAGACTATGCTGTTGAATTAACGCTAATTGCCAATCATATCCATTCATTAATTTATTAACATAAGCCCTCCTGCTTTAACCAGTCACAGCGAAGACTTTCGTTTTTAGCTGATAATATCCGGTAGAGTGCAGCTACTGTAGCTTTGCTTAAACATACATCTGCCCCTTCCATGTTCATTTATTTCGCTTTTCCCGATAACTCACATTTTATCCAAATAAAGTTGCGATATCTGTTATTTTGTACATTTTTCATTTTTCTATTCACTCCCATCCTTATCTCGCCTTTTCTTCTTTTTAGGTATGTCCCTAAAAATATGTTAATTGCCCTATCGTAGATTAAGATAATACCATAATAGTTGTTAATAAACATGCTAAAGCAATACAAAAACAGAAGTTCGATTTGAATATTTTGAATAAGTGCACGGAACAGAAGGGAAAGTAGACAATCATATGCTATCTTTGACTTGATACCGGCGCATATACTGGTTTGACAAAGCGGAATCGTGTACTAGCCGTAGGTGCGTTTGAAGATTGCACGCAGGAACATCGTTGAGGGGGACTTTCTGGAGATAAAAAACATGACCTGTGCCTCAGCAGTGAACGTTGCTCAATAACAATACGAGATACCGTTTCTACAGGTAATGCATCATAAACCTATATTACCCGGCTGTTTAAACTTTGCTATCCTTTATGACAATAATACAATCTTTTGACCTAAATGCAAAAGAAACTTAAAGTACTAAGACAGTAAAGTCACAATATTAAATGTT